AAATTAAATACCATTAAATACCAGGAATATCCTTTTTAAAATTAGGAGTATTACACTCTCTCCTCTTTTGAACCACTTTTCCTTGGTGAAAAGTCTTCGGCTTTAACGTTTATTATTCGCCTTGTCGTGCTCTACCTTTCCCCCTTATTAGAATCCGTTTTTGGCCATTTCTTGAGTGTGGGTTTGAAGTCAAGTTGTGATTTTGATGGGGCTTCCTTGGGATTCTTTTTCACCGTGTTGTCCCCGAAAAAACCCCGAAGTTTCGTCGGATTCGGAGCACTTTGATTACGGTAGGGATTTGAGATTTCATCTCAAATGGAGGTAGGGGATGTTTTTGGATTTTGTATGTGTCGTATTGAGTGTTTTCCATGATTATACAACTTAATTGCATGCTTTGTATCAAATTTAAAAAATTAGTAATATTTAATTCTTTGTATAAGATTAAATTTACAATGATGTATATAACTTAGAATTGAATTGTGACATAATGATAAATTAAGTTTTGATATGTTTGTTAACATATGTTAAATTGGAATTAATTGAATAAGAGTTGCACTTTTTATTTAATATTTTTCTTTTGTAAAAGATTAAATATCATGGACATACCTTGCATGAAATTGACTTGTGATATGCTTTTAAATTAAGTCTTGGCATGTTGTTTAACATACTTAAATTTAAGAGCATTTGGTTAAGTATGAAATCTAGAGATTTTAATTAATATTAATTAAAATCTCTTTAAGAGTTCCATTGGCCAAATTGAGATTTTGAATGAATATATGTAATGACCATGCTATGCTCTTTAACATATATTAAATTGAGGCCATTTGAAAATGATTTGAAATCTAGAGAATTTAATTATTTTTATTTAATTAAATTCTATCTTGTTGTTCCATGGATTTACTTTTCTTGTAGAAGTTGTTTCTATGCATAAATCATGGATTTGGACTTTTGTGTATTCACTTGGATGTGTTTTGAGCATTGGATAATATGGTTGTTATAATTATATTCATGAGAACGTATTTTCTTTATGGAATATATTGTTACTTTGTGTAATGAATTGCACATTTTGTAATTGACATTATATATGCCATTTTAGAATTTAAACTCTAAGATATGGATTGTATGGTTTCAACCTACTTGTGCATGGAAGGTAATTTCGTGCATTTTATAAATTATGTATAAGTTGTGAACTTATTTGATTTATTTTGGAGTCTTGGGGCATTGTTGTTATATGTGACATGGCTAGAGTTTGGCTCTAGTGCGGGAGGAATGAGTTTTCCTCATTTATAGTGCACACTTAGGGTGGTCTCCCCAGTGGGTTAATGCCCGAAATAACCATATGTCTTGGCTTTATTCAAGATGTGATGTCCAAGTCTTCTACTATTTGATTTCGCTTTCAATTCCAAGTTGACAATCATGTTTAATTGTGACTTGTGGTTTTGGCTATTGGCGATTTTGATGTTGTTAAGTACATCTGAGCTTTATGATTTTAATGAATCATTATAAATTTTGATGTTGTTAAGTACATCCGAGGCTTATGATTTCTATGATTCATTGTAAATTTTGATGTTGTTAAGTACATCTATACATTATGATTTTGAATGAATCATGGTATGCTTTTAATGTTGTTAAGTACATTTATGTTTTATGATCTTTGATGAATCATTATAAACTTGATGTTGTTAAGTACATTATGCTTAAAATGTTCAAATGTAGCTTAGGAATGATCCTATAGATTCATTTGGAACATAGACGTTAGGTGGCATGACCCACTTTTGTCGTTTTTGTATTTTAGATTTCAAGTTAATAACATTGATAACCTATATCATATTGCTTGTATAGCATGCTTTTATGTGGTTTAAATTGCATAGATGATGTGATTTATGCTAGAAATAATCTAGGGTAGCTTAGGATGCTCCCTGAGTCTCACCCTTGACATAGACGTTAGGTGGCAGGAACCCTTTAACATGTTTCACCTTAAGGTGATAAAATTGTAAAACGCTAGGTCGATGCATGCTCATTTTCTATGAGTAGCTTTATGTTGCTCACCCCAAAGTAACTAGGGCATATTTCAGGTACAGGGATCAAGATTGGGATTCACATTATGCTTTGGATGGTTTAAGGACTTGAAGGGTTAAATTCTTGTGGGTTGGCTTGAAATGCCAATTTTAGCTTTATATGTCAAAATGTGTATATTTGGTCCCAAACATGTAAAGTGTACATAAGTACACTCTTTACCGTGTAATTGATATATATGACATGAGGCCAAGGGCTACAAACCTTTAAGTTCAAGTATATATATTTAAACTTCAAGTTTTGCCTTTGAAATATATCTTTATCAACTTTGGAGGCTTGGCATGTCAAATTTTGTAAACATTGTGTAATGAGGCCATGAGCTATTGTAACATATTTCTATACATAAAGTACACTTGCGAGCATGCTTATATAACTTAAAATCATGTTTTTGGACCATTATCATGTTGGGGTTTGAGACTTGGGTGAAGTCTCAACAATTCTTGTTCATAGCAGGTCATTCAGCAGCTTTTCAAGGTGTTTCGGTTGTCCGAAACTTCATTTCGATCGACCGATGGCCTTTGAAATTCATTTGAGCATCAAAACATCACTTTCCAGTAGCCAAAAGTACTGTTCAGGGCCATTTTAGTCGACCGATGGTTCATTTCGGTCGACCGAACCAACCAAGCTTTAAAAACTTGTTTTCAGCAAAGTTTTTGTCCATTTCGGGTGTCCGATGGGTCATTTCGGTTGACCGAAATAGACCCCATTCGCACAGCTTCTCTTTTGGGTTTCAGCATTGAAGTTCCAACTTCAAATGGTCATAATTCCTTCATTTCTAACCCAAATGGGGTGATTCTTGAGCCTAAATTCATGGATTTTGAGTCAGATTTCCAATGGTAGTAATTCCATTCTCAGATTCAAATCACAGTGGGAGTTATTCATGTTTTGTGAGGTAGTATCAGTTTTGGGTTAAACCGGGAGAGAGCATTTTACGGAATTCTTATCCAATGTTCTTGGAACCTTTTGGAATGTTGTGAAACGATTAGATTGGGTTGTATTCACCTTGTTTGACTTGTTTAGAGTCAATTTTCTCCTTTTATTTGTCAATTGACCATTTTGCCCTTGGTTAATTAATTTTGGCCCTTTTTGACCTTTGTTTCCACTTTTGCTTCCTTTGAGTTCCGTGACTTCATGGAAGGTCACATTGGTGTCTTGGGGATGATTTTTATCTCTATAGACTTTGGTTTCATCTTTTACTTCCGCATTTCGGACCCGTTAACGGATCAACTTTCGGTTCATCACTGACGCACCGGGTGTAAAAACTCGGGTCGTTACAACTCATTTCTCTTTCTCTAAAATTCTCTCACTCACGATTAGGGTTGCAAGTTGGGCTGCCCAACCTAACCTCAACTCGAAATTAGTCGGGTTTCACGAGTCAATTTTTATTTTTTTTTCAAATCAAATATGCAAATAACAATTTTCTTTTCGATGTTTGTAAACATCAAAATTTTTAAGAAAATTTTATTTTTAAAACATCAATATTTTGGGCGAATTGTGTGGGTTTCAAGGGTCTTTTTATTTATTTATTTAAATATACGAATTATATTTCCTTTTCCATGTTTGTAAACATCAAAATTTTTTAGAAAATTTATTTTTTTAATATCAATATTTTGGGCAGGTCGGTGGGGTTTCACGGGTCAAATTTTTTTTTTTTTTTTTCAATTATGCAAGTTACATTTTATTTTTTCATATTTGTAAACATCAAAATTTTTAACAAACATTTATTTTTTAAACATGAATTTTTTGGGCGGGTCAATCGAGTTTCATGGGTCAATTTTATTTTATTTTTTTATTATTTTATTTTTATTATTTTTTTTTACAAATATACAAATTTCATTTTCCTTTCTATGTTCGTAAATATCAAAATTTTTAAGAAAATTTTATTTTTAAAACATTAATATTTTGGGTGGGTAGGTCGGGTTTCAATGGTCTTTTTTTATTTTATTTTATTTTTATTTTTTTACAAAATGTACAAATTACATTTTTTTTTCCATGTTTTTAAACATCAAAATTTTTAAGAAAATTTTATTTTTTAAACATCAATGTTTTATGCGGGTTAGTCACGTTTCACGGGTCAATTTTTTTTTTTTTTTTTTTTATAAATATACAAATTACATTTTCCTTTTCCATGTTTGTACGTATCAAAATTTTTAAGAAAATTTTAATTTTTTAAACATCAATATTTTGGGTGGGTTTGTCGGGTTTCACCGGTCAAATTTTTTTTTTTTTTCAAAAATTAAAATTATATTTTCTTTTTCCATATTTGTAAACATCAAAATTTTTAAGAAAATGTTATTTTTTAAATATCAATATTTTGGGTGGGTCAGTCGGGTTTCATGGCTAATTTTTTTTTTTTTTTTTTACAAATATACAAATTACATTTTCTTTTTCCTTATTTATAAACATCAAAATTTTTAAGAAAATTTTATTTTTTAAATATCAATATTTTGTGCAGGTTGGTTGGGTTTCACGGTGGTCATTTTTTTAATTTTTTTTTTTCAAATATACAAATTACATTTTCTTTTTCCATATTTATAAATATCAAAATTTTAAAGCAAATTTTATTTTTTAAACATCAATATTTTTGGTGAGTCGGTCGGATTTCACGTGTCAAATTTTTATTTTTTACAAATATACAAATTAAATTTTCTTTTTCCATATTTGTAAAAATAAAAAATTTTTAAAAAAATTTATTTTTAAACATTAATATTTTGGATGGGTTAATCTTATATATTTTTTAAATATAAAATAAAAACATAACTAAAAATAAAAAATATAATTAATGATTTTACGGATCATAACAGGTTAACCCTGTACATTTTTAACATGTTAATTGAGTATGACCCATATTTAACTCGCCTATTTTTAATCCAACCCAAACCCAACATGCTCATTTGCCATTAGAATCCTAAAACCCTGTTTTTCTTTTCTTTTCTTTTCTTTTCTTTTCTTCCTCTCCTCTTTCTTTTTCTTTTATTTTATTTTCTTTCGTCTTCCCACGCCATCTCTCGTCGCCTCCATTTCTCTCTCCCAAAACCCTAACCCTCTCTTCTATAACCCTCTCATCTTCCATCTCCCTCGACCTCATCACACACCACCACCATCCCTCCACCATCCCTCCATCTACCCACCGCCGTCGCTCTCTGTTAAAGGCCGTAACCTCACCATCTCCGGCCGAACTCAAGGCCGAAACCTCTGTCGTGTGTTTCTCTCTCCTTCGCTGCTCTTCTCTCATCTCTCGGGTAAGCCCACTCTCTCCTCTCCTTATATATATCTCTATATATACATATATATTCATGTTGAAAATGGAAATTGAAGGAAGTTTTTAAAAATTGATTTGGGAATTTTGAGATGAAAAATGGATTATTATATATATATATATCTATATATATATGTGATTGTGTGTAATGAGCTGCGGAGTATATGTGATCTACATTTTATGCAATTTGATGGACTGTGATTTGCATATATGAAGGGCGGTGTCCATGACTATGGTTACTATGTGGTTTAGCATGTTGAAAAACTTGGAAAAACTTTGATTGAATACAAGGGTTATGGAATGTTGAGAAAGTTTAAGGAGGATTATGATCATGCATTGACACATATGATTCTCATTTTCAATTGAGCTTTATTTTCTAAAAAATGGAATTTGGAATTGTGTTTGTTGAATGAATTTGAAATAGTAAGGGAGGACCATGTTGAATCCTTGATGATAAATTTCAAGCACTACAACAAATAAGGGTTTCAGCGGCGGTTACACATATGATTCTCATTTTCAATTGAGCTTTATTTTCTAAAAAATGGAATTTGGAATTGTGTTTGTTGAATGAAGTTGAAATTGTAAGGGAGGACCATGTTGAATCCTTGATGATAAATTTCAAACACTACAACAAATAAGGGTTTCAGCGGTGGTTAGACCGCCATAAGCTTCCAAAAAGGGCGGTAATTCCTTTACTGGAGGTTTTACCTAACCGCCGGTATAGCCACCGCCGCTAGGTTTCACCGACGGTTTTTAAGTAATTGCCGCTAGGTTTCACCGGCGGTTAAGTAACCGCCGGGTTTGAAATAATTACCGGCGGATGCATACAACCGCCGGTGAAAGATGATTCAGCGGCGGTTTTGTCAGCCAGTGTATTCAAAGTAAAATGTCATTTAATTGGATACTCCGGCACTTTGAAGCGCTGGGACTGTAGATTTTTTTACTTTTAGGTGCGTTTTAAACCGCTGGTGTATTCAAAGTAAACTGTCAATTAACTATATACTCTGGCACTTTGAAGTGCCGGTAATATAGACTTTTTTTTTACTTTTGGCGGTGTTTTAAACCACCGGTGTATTGTAAGTAAACTGTAGAATTTTTTACTTTTGGGGCCGTTTTAAACCTCCGGCAGTGTGTTAATTTTTTTAAAAAAATATATTATTTTTTGGTTTAATTTACATATTAGCAAATATTTTATTTTGTTCCCTGTTCAATGAAATTAAAGATAATTTACCAATCACAACACATCCAACAACTTAAATTTGATATGTAACATAGAACAAAGTTGCATTAAAATTCAGTAACATCCCATAACATATAGGTTTTGTTTCAGAATGTCTAAGTGCTAATAAAAGGTTCGAAAGGAAACACCAAAATCTAATAAAGTTTCAAAAGGAAATCAACATCGACATTTCATTGAGAATTTGAGTGAGACTATGCGAGGGTCTTGAGAATTAATGGTTCAACTTTATCTCTCGTTTTGCTTCAAATTGCCCTACATACATTTTAAATAAAAGCCATTAAACAAAGAATAATAATTAAGTCAATTAAATGTATGGTTAAAATAACATGATAATTAAAATCTATAGTGCTCACTAAGGGTGAAATTTCATGACGAAAAATAAAATTTAAGGATCACCAAGTGTAGTTGAGGAGCCGGGTACCTTCACAATAAAATATAATTTTATTATGCATCTTCATAATAGAATATAATTATAAATATATTAGGACTTATAATATTTATATAGTTAAATTTTTACAAGGGTACAATAATAAAAATGTTTACCTGTACATTAGATTTTGATGTTCAATATGACGCAAAATCATAGCCATTTTTGCATTTTTGCATTCAAAGCTTAATATTTGTCATCATAATCAGCACGCATCTTTTCCACTTTCTCATTCATTTTTGCATGAGCAACACGTGTCTCCTCCTTTGCTTGTGAGGTCCTCCTAATCAGCTTCGCTTTACTAGGAGATGGCCCGCAAAGACTAGTAGATGTAGGTCCCAAGCCATACATCCGAACACGGCCCCTTCTTTCTTCTCCCCTAACTTGGGCATAAAAATTGTGGGGTGAAGGTTCATCTAGGTTAGAAGGCTGAGTTGCAGCAAGCTCTTCTAGAAGACTTTAAAAATGTTTATCCTCCGTTCCATCTTTAGCTGGGTGAAGGGAGGTTCCTGCTTTACTAATGATGCTCTTTTAGATTTTTTGGATTCCATGGGTTCTTAAGACTTGTTTTGTTTTGCTTTGTTGTGTTTCGTTTTGTTTTTGTATAAGGGATGCATTCCCCTTTTGAACGCTTCTTTGGCTTTATAAAACTCTTTACTTATAAAAAAAAAGTGTGTCTGCATACATAGAATGGATAAGGAAACACAAAAAGATAAAACATCAAATATAATAAATTTTAGTACTCATATTTTACACTTAATCAAACTAGGAAATAATGAATTGATGGTCTAAAAAAATACTTACAATCGTTTTGGCAGCATGTTCATCACTAGCTTTGCCATCCATCTTGCTCTTATGTGTTGCTCAAAATAGTTGAGCACGAGTTGGCGCCTTCCCTGCTTCCTACTTCATCTATTTTTTTTTTAATATATATATCTTATTATAATTATACTGCAATGATGTATAATAAATTATGTGACATACAAGTGATTAACTTCATAAAAAATCGTGCTTAACCTTTTCAGCCTTCTGCGCATAACTCATTGTCCCTGTTGTGTGCAGCATTGTTTGCTTAGAGCGATTTACTTCATTTTGTTGGCTTTAATTCTAAAACAAGGGAATAAGAAGGTATATATTAGCTCTTAAATTGTCACACACTATATATATATATATATATATATAAAATATAACTACTGGATAGTTCTAATGAGCTAATTAGATTACTTCGTATTTTTAAGCATGAAACTGACTGGAAAAAAATGCTAGAAACTGACTGAAAAAAAGCATGAAGAAAAAAGCAAATATATCTGTTATTGTTCAAATCCATAGTTGCACTATGTCATTCTTCTTCCAGAGCTGATTGCTCAAAAGAAATTGCAAGTTAGAGGACCCATAACTAACAACTGAATGATTCAACATTCTCAAAATTAAAGAGTGCATCCGAAAAACGAATATACTAAAAAACAAAATGCAAAAAAATTGTTGCATACATACCCAACACTGAACATGCAAATACACTTTAAACTTATCACTTCTCTTCTATCGCCTTACTTTTTCTTCCTCTCATTCCCCATATTTCTTATTATATTATCCACTCACTTCTCTTTTTTTTCATGATGTGCATGCTTTTTTGCATTCCAGTAGACCTATGTCATGACTTGTTCACATTATGTCACCATAATTGCTCCATTGAACTTCATGTTGAAGATTGTAGACATTTTTGCTTAGGAAATGATAGATATCATCCTAGGGTCTACATGCTTGACTATTGCAAAATCTCTTAAGTTTTAAGTTTGTGAACTCACGTTGCATATACTTTGTGCACATCACACCCTAGACTTGTCACATTGGTTACATTCTTGCAAATATTTTCAAAAGTGATTTTGTGATTCCTCTTTGCTACCAAAGCACCATTTTGCATATTGTTTAATGTGTCATGATCCATTCTTGCAAATTGAAGCATGTGTTAGCTCTGCTGGCATTATTTGTCCTTATCTTGGCTTTTGCTCACGTGGCTGCGATCGATCGCAGATTTCCTGCGATCGATCGCAAGTTGTGCTGAATTCTTGGGCCATTTTGCTGACGTGGCGGTGCGATTAATCGCACCTGGCCTGCGATCGATCGCCGGCCCCTTTTGGGCAATTTTTCTAACTTTTTTTGGATTTTCTCGATGTATTTACTTGACTTCAAAAAGGTTTTAATGGACTGTTTTTAGCCCGTTTGAATCTTATTGACCTGAAATTGACAAAAACATAAATTAAGACTAAAACGGGAAAATAAACATAGATGCAAGGCTTAAAATACCCGATATTAGGGCCGAAATGTGCAATATTTCAGCACTTATCATGCGGTATTAACGGCTTCGGCCCATAAAGATCTAGGTGATTTATGCTCATTTAGCATAGTTCTAGCCATCACTTGAAGAGACCTATTCTTCCTTTCAACAGCTTTATTTTGTTGAGGAGTCCTAGGTGCCGAAAGATTGTGATTATAGCCATTTTCATCACAAAAACTTTCTACGTCTTGATTTTCAAACTTTCTACCCCTATTACTTCTAATGGTCTTAATCTTACACTCCTTTTCGTTCTCGACTCTTTTACAAAATTTTGAAAGAATTGTATTAGCCTCATTTTTGCGTGTAAGAAAGAATACCCAAGTGAATCTAAAGTAGTTATCAACAATTACAAAAATATAGAGTTTTCCATCAAGATTAGCAATTTTCTCCGGTCCAATCAAATCCATATGAATTAATTCAAGTGGCTTTGTAGTCGTTATATCCTTTTTCCTTTTGAAATATAATTTGATTTGCTTACCTATATGACAAGCACTACAAGGTTTGTCTTTTGAAAAATTAGTCCTTGGGAGACCTTTGACTAACTCATTTTTAGACAATCTTGAGATCAAATCCATGCTAGCATGTCCTAGTTCATTTGATGACATAAAACATTTAACATCTTGATCATGAAGTTCACCCAAAAGTAAAGTATATACATTACCACTTTTAGGGGCACACAATATTTGAGTTCCATCCTTTTCAACAATGCATTTATCCAATTTAAATATTACATCAATCCCTTGTCACATAGTTGACTTACACTAAATAAGTTATGCTTTAATCCTTCAATAAGTAAGACATTATCAATAGATAAGGAAGAAGAAATACATATGGTTCCGATCCCAATTACCTTGCCTTCGGAATTGTCTCCAAATGTAACGCTTCCTCCGTTGTATGATTTTAGGGAGGAAAATCTTGAGTAATCACCCATCATATGCCTTGAATATCCACTGTCTAGAAACCATTCGTCCTTGAGAGAAGAAGATGCCCTTCAAGCCATCTTACAAGAGAGTTTTTAAATGATCTTCACTTGGTACCCAAATTTTGTTAGGTTCGTATGAGTTAGGTAAAGGCATGTATGTTCCTTTAGGAACCCACATCTTGATTTTCAGCTTTTTATTCGAGCAATCTTGAATAAGATGACTAATTCTTTTACAATAGTTGCATCTAATATTCTTGGCTTCATTTTTAATAAGACAATTAAACAAGGGTTCTCTCTTTTTCAATAAGCATGCATTTTTGTCAAAAGGATTATATCCTAATCCATGATTATGAAAAACACTTCTTTGGCTACCTAGCATGAGTTCCAAATTTTTTGTTCCTCGAGTAACCTCGCTAGACCATTAACTTGATCTTCAATAATTAATTTCAAAGATTCATTTTCAGAAATAAGATCATTAGATGCAGATTCTTTCAGCAAGATGCAATCTTTTTTCCTTTTTTCAAACATCATTTTCATTTTGAAGAGTTTCAAGTTTCTTCTCAAGGTTGAACTTTTCTCTTCTAAGAGAAGCACATTTTTTTACCATCTTACCAAGTTCATCATGCAATTCTTTAAAAATATCAAGTAGTTCATTGTAAGCATCAACTAGTTCATCATAAGAAATATCCACATCAGATGAAGAATCAAAATTAGAGTTTTCCTCATTCCTATTTGCCATGAGGCAGAGATTAGCCATTTCTTCATCGCTTCCGGAGCCGTTTGAGTCATCTTCTTCCCATGTGGCTTGCATTGCCCTTCTCTTTTTCTTCTCCTCTTTATAGATAAGGCAATCAGCTTTAAAATGCCCTGGTTTTCCATAATGAAAACAGGTAGGTGTATACCGTTTGCCTTGTTCATTGGATGATTCACTCTTTTTGAATTTTCCCTTGTTGAATTTCTTCCTTTGAAGAAATCGTTTGAAAGATTGAGTAATGAGAGCTAAGTCATCATCATTTTCACATTCATTGCCAATGATTGCCTTTTCCTTTAGAGAGGAATTGAGAGCTATCTCTTTCTTTCGTTGTTGACCTCCTTCTCTATCTTTCAAGGTAATCTCCCATGTGAGAAGGGAGCCGAGAAGTTCATCAAGTTCAAGGGTGTTGAGATTGTTAGCTTCCTTGATGGCTGTAGCCTTTGTATCCCATTTTTCAGGTAGACTTCTCAGAATTTTCCTTACAAGATCAGAATTAGTGATAGTTCTACCAAGATGCTTTAAGCCATTTATAATGTCAGTGAATCTAACAAACATTTCGCTAATAGATTCATTTTCATTCATGTTAAACAATTCATATTGATGCATAAGTATATCAATTCTAGATTCACGAACTTGTGATGTTCCTTTATATGTTATTTGAAGTTTTTCCCAGATTTCCTTTGCTGTGGTGCATGTTGAAACTCTATTGTATTCACTAGGGCTTATAGCACAATTGAGATTAACTTTGGCTTTCGCATTTAAGGAGATAAGCTTGTAATCATTTGTATCCCGTTCACTTTCTTCTTTAGGAATCATTTTCTTATCAACTTCCTTCATGGGAACAAATGGTCCATTCAATATGACAAGCCATATTTGGTAGTCTACTGATTGAAGAAAATCTATCATTCTATTTTTCTAATAACCATAGTTAGTTCCATCGAACCAAGGAGGTCTGGAATTGGATTGACCTTCTTGATGAATGATGCCATTTATGTTTGCCATCATCGTTCTCTAAGACACCTAAGTCTTTTAATAGAGATTAGGCTCTGATACCAATTATTGCCCAAATAATGACTCTAGAGGAGGGGGAGGAGGGGGGATTGAATAGAGTCTTTAGCAAACTATGATCAATTTTCGATTTCAATTAATATGCAAGATATAATCAGGTTCTCTCAACAGTTATGCTATGATAAAAACAGAACTTTATGCAATTTAGAGTATCATGCTTTCATGTAATCATCAAAACATAATTTAAGCAATCAATAGCATAAGTTTAAGAGATAAGGGAAGAGAGATTGCAAACAAGTACTCAGCTATTTTTGCGAGGTTCGAAAACTCCTACTCCTCGGCTCAAGACCCCTCTTGAGACTTCCCAATCCACTATTGCTTCTCCTTACGGGTGGAGAGCAAACCTTTACATGAGGCAACTCTTTACTTCACTTTGTTAAGAGAACAACCTTCCCTTAGTCTTCCTTGGGCCACACCAGCCCTTACAAAGTTTGAAGGTAAGAATTTCAGTACAAGATAATCTCTCACAGATTTGTAGTACAACTTTCAGTTCACTCTAGAGTATATATGAATACGATGAAGCTCAACACTTTTCTAATGATATGAGGTGTATGAATACAAGAACAAAAGCTCTTTGATTGCTAGAATATATTTCTCAGATGTTGCAATATTCTTTTCTGAAGACCCCAGCTCAATATGTAGAGTTTCTGGTGCAGCTGATATACAATATAGCTGTTGGGCACAGAGTATTAAGGTAAAATAGCTGTTTGAATTTGAACTCAACTTAAATGGGTCGTCCAAAATGACTTGAGGTCTGCTGAGTGCTCCATTTCGGTCGTCCAGTTGTGATCTCAAACTTAACTTGGCTACTGCCCGATTTTTATTAGTAACCGGTTGTTTGACACATTTTGACTATTTCATTTCGGTCGTTCGAAATGAACTTCTTCAGAATTTTGTTCTAAGTTAGATAGATGACACTTTTTTTTTTTTCTTTTTTTTTTTTTTAGTGCCTTAATCATTTAGAGCAAATGTTTATATGCATGAACCTAAGTATATGAGCTTCAAGAAATTCATAAATACTTTGACAAAGGTTCCTAATCACTCACCACCTTAGCTACCCCTTTTACATTTGTATTGGCATGATCATTTGAGCGCAAGGATGATATTGATAGCTTCCATTTGAGACTTGATTCCTTTTTAGCTTCTCAGGTTTTCCTTCATGTATCTCTCTGTGTTATGATGCCTTTGTTCATCTGTGCTTTTATGTAATGTGTGTCTTGATGAATGCTGAGATCTGTAACTTAACTCAAGGTAGACATTAGTACGCATAGAACATCATTAATGGATTGTAATCATCAAAAGTCTTAGATTGCCTTTAGGTGAAGTCCTTGAGGTCAACAATAATCAAATCTCCGCTAATATGGTAAGTCATTTCATAAATCATGGCTATCATATATGCTAACATTTGCATAATCAAATCTCTGCTATTATGGTAAGTTATTCCATAAATCGTGGCTATCATATATGTTAACAATATATATATATATCGATTAAGGTATTTAGTCCAAAGTAGTAGTGGTATATATATATATTGAGATACAAAAATTATAGTAATAGTGTGTATATATACTTATATATAGAGAAAAAAATTATTTCATTTCATTTTATAAATAATTAATAATTTTTTCTATTAGGTGATGCTAGCACCTAACCTATTAATAATTATAGTAAGTGTTGGGACAGCGGAAATGTATGAACACAAAGATCTAAAGAAAGCCAACAAAGCAATCACACGTAAACACGAGATATACATGGTTCAGCCAAAATTGGCCTATGTCCATGGATGAGAAGAGATTCCATTATGATTCGTAGAGATATTACAACAATAGAGTACCAACTCCACGTACATGTCTTTTCACCATATACCACTCCACGAGCCAATCTCCTCGCTAACAATGTCACCGGTGTTTTTCCTACTCTTTCAACCCGCATACTTCCTCTACCCATCAACTCCCCTCATGAGATTACATCTCTCTCAATCCCATAAATCTCAACCCAAAACATATGTACCTATTTATAGAGTTACAAACATAATTCCTTGTTGGACAAGGATTACAATTCCTTAGAGGCCAAGACTTGCCAAATAAGAAATTACCTAATAAAATACAACTCTAAAATAGTATCCTAATTAGAATAGGAATTTGAGACACTATTTCCAACAATCTTCACCTTGGCTCAAATTCCATCCAGCCAATCATCGCTTTCCATGGCATTGATTATGACAATTCTTTTGCAGCTTCAATCTTAACGATACTGCAAAACTTTGATTGTCCACATTATACGTTGCTCGATCAATCAAACCTCCAAGGCTCCACCTTGACTCTTCGAGCTCCATACCATGTAACCAAGCCGATTGACTCCACCTACAACTGAAACCCGTTGTAGCACATGTTAAGACTTCTTGTGTTTTCTGGATCTCATTCACCTTTGGCTCTGATACCAATTTGTTGGGCAGCGAAAACGTACGAACACAAAGATCTAAAGAAAGCCAAAAAAGCAATCACACATAAACATAAGACATACATGGTTCAGCCAAAATTGGCCTACGTCCGTGGATGAGAAGATATTTCATTATGATTCGTAGAGATATTACAACAATGGAATACCAACACCACGTATGTGTCTTTTCACCGTGTACCACTCCACGAGCTTATCTCCTCGCTAATAGTGTCGTCGGTGTTTTTCTTACTCTACCAACCCGCATACTACCTCTACCCATGAATTCCCTCATTGTGATACCCCCTAATTTCAGAATACTGGTTGATCAAGTCCGCGCACAAAACTAGAGGATATCAAAACAATTAAAGTATTTAAACAAGTACAGATTACAAAATGAAATAAAGAATAAATAATACGCTGAAGAAAAACTAATAAATAATAAATCCATTAATAATTCTCCAATGGTTATAATTTGAAAATCTCGTAACTCAAGGACCCCTTAACCAAAAGTCTCTATCCAAAATCCATAATTAAATACTAATGTCAAATAAAGTAATAATATTCTACTTTAAAATAAACCGAAAGAATAGATAAGTCCTCCAGTTACGGATCTTCAACCTTGAGACTTGAACCTCTAATAACCTGAAAGATAAAAATAAGAGGGTCAAACCCACGAGCAAGTTTTCTCTACCAGGCCTCTGAAAACCAATAAAGAAATCATCTCTGGCCAAAACTAAACCTAATAAAGTTTTATTTTTAATAAACAATGATACCCATATATATAAATAATTATATATGAATACAACAGTGATTAAATAATAATCATTCCTAGACCAATTCACCATTTCTTCAAAAAAAAAAAGGTACTTAACCTCAATCCCGTCCTAGACAGTTAATTAAACATTTAAACAATATAATTAAATAATATTATATTTAATTCAAAACCCAATAATGATTTAATTATTTAAATCACACAGTCAATTTCTAGGCTTTGACAAATCGTCAATGTCTCTACTAACATTATTTTATTAATATATATAAAATAATACACTAATTTAGATTTTTCTAATTTAAGAATATCTAATCCTAATCCAACCTACACATACAATAACCATAGATGAAATTTTAATCATCTAACGCATACCAATTTAATTATGTATTGGCAATTCAACCATGCCATTATAAATATATTTATTTATATATTGACAACTCAACCATGCCTCCTTAATATATTTATTTATACATTGGCAATTCAACCATGCCTCCACAAGTATATTTGTTTATATATTGACAATTCAACTATGCCTTCACAAATAAATATATTTATATTTTTAAAATAGCAACTCATCCATACTTCCTATGTATGTATTTTATTCATACAAATACCTAGGCAATATATTTAAGCCTTTGGTAACTTATCCATGCCTACAATTTAACCATGTACCAAACTTTAAAATTAATTTAACAACAAAACAAATTATACATAGGAATTCCATGCATATTATACGCATATCGTTAATTTAATAACCAGCCTATCAAGATATACCAACTAAGAATGATAATGCTAATCATCTTAAATAAATAAATATATATACATATATATACTTCCTTCCATACTAATCACAAGTTAAATGAATCATATATACACATATATAATTAAATACACACACATATATATATACACTTCTGTCCGTCACGTAATATTAATTAATTATATATACATACATTAAATAACATAATGATACTCTATGGCTCTCATAACATTAAGAACATATCCTATAATGCTTGATTTCAGTATTAATAAGCTTGAAACCAATTTTAGGACATCTCCAGATTTTATAGGTCCTTTCCGGGACTCGAAACACCTCCCCACGCACCTCCACAGTCTCCCAAACACCTTGCACGTACTTCTACACACTATTCCACGCTCGCACGCTCTAATGTGCCCCCCACACGTGCACACGCTCCAATGCACCACCCCACGCGCTGGGACGCGCTGTCACGCGTGCTGGCTATCTTCTTGGTGACGCGGTGCTCCCCCATTGGCTGGTTACACCGTGTCCCTATGGGTGCGCTGCATCGAATCAATCTGTCCTCTTCAAGGGCCTAGATTCGTGTGCACCATTGCATGTGCACGTTGCGCTGCACCAGATCAATTCTTCTTATAAACACATCTTTATGGCTCAGATCTGCATGTGCACATACTCTTCATAGTCTGCGCCGCACCCAATCAAAATAAAGTTGTCCAGACTCCTTTTGTGGTCCAGATGCATGGTGTACCATAATAAGTTGCGCCATGCTACACTGGATCATCCGCCCCTTATGATCATTATCCAATGGCCAAAATTCTGCGTACACATCCTTTACCCTACGTTGTGCTGCACTAGATTATAGTGCCCTGGTTGATGCGCCGATATACAACGTGTATATATACAGTTTTAAAATAAAAACTAAATCCCAGAATAATAAAATATATTCTAATAATTCTAGAAAATATAAAACAATTCAGAAAAATCCCAGAAAAATCCCAAAAATTCTATAAATCATAATTAACCATATTGGGTCACAAATCAAGCATATCAGTTGATTTTAAATAAATACAACTCATACATCTAGCGGTTTAAAATCCAAAGTAAAAATATATAAAATATAATAATTCATTCTTTTAATTAATCCGATCTAACCATGATTTAATAAATACGTTTAATCTAAAAATCTGATACTCAAGATGAAATACTTATGAGTCCTAAATTAGAGAAAACTCGCTTGAAGGTTTCGAAACGAAACCGATGCCTTAAGCTTTGTTTGTCTCTTCCAATTCCGGCGTTCACTTCTCGGATCTGACCTCCTCTTTGTCAGGCTCCTCTTCTTCTTTCTTTCTACCTCTTTTATTTTTTTCTAACGTGTAAACTTTTAACAATAAAACCTTATGTGTATATTTATATACATTAAAATTCAAATCCTATTCCTGGTAGGACTACTAAATAAAATAATAAAAATAATAATTATCTTAAATAATATGTATACACATATATAATATATATATATACCAATAAATATATATATATATATATATTTCCTTCCATAATAATTATTAATTAATTATATTTATCTATATTTATGTAAAGATAATTATTTAAATATCTTTATAACCATGGACCCTTATTAATTAACCCGACAAGGCTTCTTTCAAGCCCAAGACCACATCCTTTGGTCCAACTTCCCTTAAGCCCAAATCCAATTAATTTAAATAAATCAAATAATTAAATAAACACTTAAATTAAAATAACTAATAACATGAAGCACAAACAAAGCAAGAAATTACAACCAAGTCAGACCATACCAATAAATTCAATTCACCAACAATTCAATCAATAATCAAGTACACATACAAGCAATCATCATATATAATCACGAAATATAATTTAATTAAAATAAGACAATTAATCTAAGCACTCAATTAAATAAAACAAATTATTTAAAAATAGAATAAAATTAATTAATTTCAATTAATAAATCCTTTAAAATATCATGGTATTACACTTATGAGACTACATCTGTCTCAATCTCACAAGTCTCAACCTAAAACATATGTAGTTATTTATAGAGTTGCAAACATAATTCCTTGTTGAGCAATAATTACAATTCCTTAGAGGCAAAGAGTTACCAAATAAGAAATTACCTAATAGAATACAACTCTAAAATAAAATCATAATTAGAATAGGAATTTGAGACACAATTTCTAACAGTAAGTACATATAAATTATAATTCATTTTATAAGTATATAGACACACTATTAATATTACCCTAACTATAAGTAGCAAGGGTTGGTCCAAAGCGCCTCCCTCAGTCCCTCTTTCAGTCTTTCCTGTAAAATTATTAATTATTTCATTTTATAAATAATTAATAATTTTCTTTATTAATTAATAATTTTCTTGATTAAATATTTATTAGTATTTCTTTAATAAATAATTTATTTTACATGTTAAACACATTAAACCCTAACTATAAGTACCAAAAGTTGGTCCAAAGCACCGTCCTCTTTCAGTCTTTCATTTCCAAACCCTTCCTCTCTTTCAAATCGTCGATACACACCAACGCCTCCAAATCCTTCCTCTGCAGTCGACGTCGTCTCGCCGTCCTCCGTCATCGACATCGGTCGCGCTATCCCGCCGTTCTCGACATCATTCTACTGTCATTGACATCGATCTGGTCCTGACGTCTTCCGTCATCGATATCGGTCTGCAGTCGACATCAGTACGGTACTGCAGATTTTTTATTTATTTTTGGTGGTTTAGAAAAACGTGAAATGAGCTTGCAAAGAAAAAAAAACCATTTTGCTGAATTTTTTTATTTGTTTTTGGTTATTTATTAAATGTAAGCGAAGAAAAAAAAAAAAAACCAATATTGACACCCTAAAATAAGCTCAACACAACTATACAGTTTGATTCATGTGAATTCTACGTTGTCCTTATATCAAATTGAAGAAAACATGTAACATGAGATTCAAAATTCCATTTTACCTTCCTCAGCTTTCTCATTTCTTTTTTCGCCTTCGTAGCTAAAGTTCTTATCTTTCTTCACTTTTTGCAATTGTTGGACATGTTCATTAACTTCAATTTTTTTATTTGTTCTTTGACTGAGCATATTTTTCATTTTCTTTACACATACTTCTTAGATAGTATTGGAAATTTGGGAGGGTGAAAAAGAGAGAGACAGAGACAACAAATGAAGCCACAATCAAAACCACGTCAACTTGTTATTTTGGTCGACTTTGGACTTATTTATTATTAATGTTAAACTTCTATGCTTGTAATGTATTGAAAGTTTGAAACTCATACAGCAAAGCAGGATCAAAATAAGCCCCCTTCAGCCTTAGTTATAGTAATCAAATGAGAAGGTGCATTTTCTTGGAATTTTCTGTACCACCCCACATAAAATTCCTACAGAGCTTCTGCAACTGATTAATGACAGCCATAGGAACATTCAATAAACTGTAATTATTATTGTAAGCTTATGCACATGAATTTCTTGCCCTTTCAATTGTAGATACTGCATTCTGAAGTTTTATGTCTTATATTTGTTACTTCCCTTTTTCGAGCTTTCCTTTCATCATTCTGCTAGAAGGATCCTTACACGGGTCACAACTTAGGCATGTTGTATGATTTCTCTAACATTCTGTATTCAATGATTTTGGATTTATATTTGAATAACATTATGCTGGATGTTTGAATAGTAAGCTTAATACAATGCTTTATAAAAAACTAACATTGTTGCCTTATTTCAGGCTTCTCTTCCCCATCCTCTCTTGATAGTCCCTGCCCAGCGGTCAGGCCAGTTAATTTAAACCCATGATCATCCTATAATAGAAATTCGGCCCAAAATTTGGTATTCTCCAAAACAACTCATCAGAGACATTGAGGTATGTCATGCCCTTATTCTGCCAAAAACAAAAACAAAGATTTAACAGCCAAAAACAAAAACAAAAATTAGGTTAAAAAAAAAACAAAAAAGAAAAAGAGAAGGAAACATCACCTGACAAAATTTGCAGTGTTTCACGTGCTCGTAAGTATTAAGATTAAAGCTGAAAACCCGATGTGGCCTAGAATATTGTTCCACACCCTCGTAATATTTTACGTCTATATAGCTGCAGCATAAGCCCACACACTTTAATGGGGTTTCTATTTGAAGAATGTCATTATGCCAACCACTCATATCAATGAGAGAATCCTCCAAATCCTTTTCCATGTAGCATAGATAATACTCTAGGTCTGGAAAGTCATTAAACTTACGAATCATATTGTATCGATCTTTACTATTATGAAAAATAGGACAGTTTTTAACAGAAGACTATAGTTCTTTAAGCTCGGCAACTGTGTTGTCTTCAAAATCATTTTCTTAAACAGTGTAATACAATTGCGATACAACTCACAAGTATTTTTCTCAATCTCCTTCCATTTGGCTCATTGCATCAGTGGCATTTTGGACCAACTTCAACAAATCAGTGATGTCACCCCGCAAAGCGTCCAAAGGATCTGCTTTGTGGACTGGCCTAAACAGTTTGATATCTCCGGAATCTAATACGGTTACCCCGTCCAAGAGATTACCATAATAACCATCTACCTCTATAAAATTGTCCGAGCCATTTATTATTCCTCTGCAAGTCAAAGAAAATTAGATTATGGATGGACACTTTTGTAACTAAACTGGTGAGTCACATAGACAAAAAGTGAATAAAGAAATGGTTTAATTACTTAAATGCTTTCACTAGTAAGACCTTGAAGAGAGATAAAATAAACACTTACTTGAAAGCTTTGCAAAAACGATCTCCGGGCCCAATGTATAACCCTGTCTTGGGGTCTTCAAGGAAGAGATCTGGGGAACCATTACAAAGCCAGGTAGAAAATGGTCGGCCAAGTTTCTCAATCAAAAGACTACGCAACACCTTTCTACTTGATTTTGATTCAGAATTGAGTGTCTCAATTTCCAGACCTGTCTCCTCATGACTATAATATACCTTGGAAAGGACTTTATTTGCATACTTCCTTAACTTTGTTTGCAATACGTCTTCCCTAGGAATAATCATGCTATGAATAACTGAGATATCAACAAGGTGTTATTCTGAATTCTGTAAGTTTGCAGTTCCATTTGTGGCATCCCTATAGTATGATGACCTTTCAGTTTCTTTCCAATAAACTTTCCTGTCCTTACCCTGGGAAAATTTGTCTGTGACGTAATAGGAAATTAAAAAAAAGAAAAGAAAAAAAGGGGAAGAAGTAGATAAAACTACATATTTAATACCATTTTCCATATTATAATTTGTCGCGCTGTCCTGCCATTCTCGACATCATCCTACTGTCATTGACATCGATCTGGTCCGACGTCGTCCCGCTGTCCCGCCGTCCTCCGTCATCGACATCGGTCTGCAGTCGACATCAGTACGGTACTGGAGATTTTTTATTTATTTTTGGTTGTTTAGAAAATGTGAAATGAGCTTGCAAAGAAAAAAAAAACCATTTTGCTGAGATTTTTTATTTGTTTTTGGTTATTTATTCAATGTAAGCAAAGAAAAAAAAAAAACCAATATTTACACACTAAATTAAGCTCAACATAGCTATACAGTTTGATTTATGTGAATTATACGTTGTCCTTATATCAATTCAAGAAAACATGTAACATGAGATTCAAAATTCCATTTTTCCTTCCTCAGCTTTCTCATTTCTTTTTTCGCCTTCGTAGCTAAAGTTCTGATCTTTCTTCACTTTTTGCAATTGTTGGACATGTTCATTAACTTCAATTTTTTTATTTGTTCTTTGACTGAGCATATTTTTCATTTTCTTTACACATACTTCTTAGACAGAAATTTGGGAGGGTGAAAAAGAGAGAGACAAAGACAACAAATGAAGCCACAATCAAAACCACGTCAGCTTGTTATTTTGGTCAACTTTGGACTTATTTATTATTAATGTTTTATTAATGTTAAACTTCTATGTTTGTAATGTATTGAAAGTTTGAAACCCATACAGCAAAGCAGGATCAAAATAAGCCCCCTTCAGCCTTAGTTCTAGTAATCAAATGAGAAGGTGCATTTTCTTGGAATTTTCCGTACCACCCCACATAAAATTCCTACAGTGCTTCTGCAACTGATTAATGACAGCCATAGGAGCATTCAATAAACTGTAATTACTATTGTAAGCTTATGCACATGAATTTCTTGCCCTATCAATTGTAGATATTGCATTCTGAAGTTTTATGTCGTATATTTTTTACTTCCCTTTTTCGAGCTTTCCTTTCATCATTCTGCTAGAAGGATCCTTACACGGATCACAACTTAGGCATGTTGTATGATTTCTCTAACATTCTGTATGCAATGATTTTGGATTTGTATTTGAATAACAATATGCTGAATGTTTGAATAGTAAGCTTAAAACAATGCTTTATAAAAAACTAACATTGTTTCCTTATTTCAGGCTTCTCTTCCCCATCCTCTCTTCTTCGTGTCCGGCTAGCCAAATTATAATCTGGAAAATGGTATTCAATATGTAGTTTTATCTTCTTCTTCCTTTTCTTCGTTTTTTATTTTTTTTTTATATTTTTTTTTATTTTTTATTTTTTATTTTTTTTAATGTCGCAGACAAATTTTCCCAGGGTAAGGAGAAGGGAAAGTTTATTGGACAGAAACTAAAAGGTCATCATACTATAGGGATGCCGCAAATGGAACTGCAGACTTATAGAATTCAGAACAACACCTTGTTGATATCTTAGTTATTCATAGCATGATTATTCCTGGGGAAGACGTTTTGCTAACAAAGTTAAGGAGTATGCAAATAAATTCATTTCCAAGGTATATTATAGTCACGAGGAGACAAGTCTGGAAATTGAGATGCTGAATTCTGAATCAAAATCAAATAGAAAGGTGTTGCGTAGTCTTTTGATTGAGAAACTTGGCCGACCATTTTCTACCTGGCTTTGTAATGGTCCCCCGGATCTCTTCTTTGAAGTCCCCAAGACAGGGTTATGCATTGGGCCGAGAGATCGTTTTTGCAAAGCTTTCAAGTAAGTGTTTATTTTCTCTCTCTTCAAGGTCTTAGTAGTGAAAGCATTCAAGTAATTAAACCATTTCTTTATTCATTTTTTGTCTATGTGACTCGCCAGTTTAGTTACAAAAGTGTCCATCATAATCTAATTTTCTTTGACTTGCAGAGGAATAATAAATGGCTTGGATAAATTTATAGAGGTAGATGGTTATTACGGTAATCTCTTAGACAGGGTTACCGTCCTAGATTTTGGAGATATCAAACTGTTTAGGCCAGTCCACAAAGCAGATCCTTTGGATGCTTTGCGGCGTGAAATCACTGATTTGTTGAAGTTGGTCCAAAATGCCGCTGATGCAATGAGCCAAATGGAAGAGATTGAGAAAAATACTTGTGAGTTGTATGGCAATTTTATTATACTGTTCGAGAAAATGATTTTGAAGATACTGCCCTCATGCAACATAGTTGACGAGCTTAAAGAACTATGTGTTTTTGTTTGGTTAAAAACTGTCCTATTTTTCATAATAGTTAAGATCGATACAATATTGTTCGTAAGTTTAATGACTTTCCAGACATGGAGTATTATCTATGCTACATGGAAAAGGATTTGGAGGATTCTCCCGCTGATACGAGTGGTTGGCATAATGACATTCTTCAAATAGAATTAAAGTGTGTGGGCTTATGCTGCAGCTATAAAGACGTAAAATATTATGAGGGTGTGGAACAATATTCTAGGCCGCATAGGGTTTTCAGCTTTAATCTTAATGCTTATGAGCACGTGAAACACTGCAAATTTTGTCAGGTGATGTTTCCTTCTCTTTTTTATTTTTTATCTTATTTTTTTAACCTAATTTTTGTTTTTATTTTTGGCTATTAAATCTCTGTTTTTGTTTTTGTTTTTGTTTTTGGCAGAATAAGGGTATGACATACCTCAATGTCTCTGATGAGTTGTTTTGGAGAATACCAAATTTTGGGCCGAATTTCTATTATAGGATGATCATGGGGTTTTACACTAACTGGCATGACCGCTGGGGCAGGGACTATCGGGCAGATCTAATTTTTCACATGAAGGGGGCACCGTATCCTTCCAATTAGCTTGGAAAGATCTTGGAATCCAAGGGTGGAAGACAAGGCGATGAAGAGCATGTATGATTTGGGGATAGCAACTTTCAACTATTCAGAATTATCTGTAAAAAAGATAATCTTATTTCCATTTTGGTGCAAGAATTAGGTTTGATGTAGCGTTGATGTTTTGCAAATTGAAATTGTTAAAGATTAAAATTATTTTATAGAATGTATGGATGGGGTAAGCTTGTGGCTCTGCATTGTTCCAACATTGTCAAGACTAGTCGGTGAGAGAAAGCAATGGGAATATGTCGGTTACAATTTTAATGATTTTGGGTTTGAATTTTTGCTTTCTGTTACTCCACTCGCTGCCTTTTGGCTCGCATTTTATTTTTTAAATGACCCAATTCATTGTAGCAGCAGGCAGCCCCAGAAACGGATTTAAGGACGTGTTTGGTTAAAATAAATACCAGAAATCACTATTTGAATTTTTCTTTGGCCCTTTTTGGTTCTTTTTTTTCCTCAACACAAGTGAACCAAAAGAGGCAACGTCGGTGGACACAAATGTTGTCTTAAAATCTATTTTGGTCAAAAAAAAATGTCAAATAAAGATAAATTTTAACTTTTTGTTTTGTTTTTTTACTTATTTTGCACATATTGTGACGACCCTGGATTTTTACAAACCTAGTGTGTCCTGTAATGACCCGAAAGGATCCAAAATGCGGAAATTAAACATAAACGAGTTTCTGGAGGTGTACGTCATCCCTAAGACACAAGAATGACTTTCTGAGGAGTTTCGAGACTCAACGGAAGTAAGACCGAAGTTAGGATTTTAAAACCCTCTAATGAATGGACCAAGAGCCAAAATGGTCATTCCAAATTGTAACGACCCATTCCACCACATGGTATGATATTGTCCGCTTTGGGCCTGAGCTCGCACCGGTCGGCACACTTTCGGCTGGGTCAGGCTCTGATACCATTTGTAAGCACATAATTTAATTAAACAATTCATACATAGACAAATACAAATAATACATAGACACATAATCAAATAATCAAGTAATACTTAATTCAATTAAACACTTAAGCAATTAGTCAAATAATCAATTAAATAATTAAAAAAATAATTAAAACAAATAAATAAATACCGAGACTATCCTTTTAAAATTAGGGGTATTACACAAACTGAAATAGGTGTCATCGTGCACACCATTGGAAAGACACCGAAAAATGAACGAAGTTAGACTCAATAATCACCTGATTCGAAGACCGGACAGAAAAGATATGAAAATAGAATAAAGTGGCATCCTCCGATTAATAGATACCACGACCCTGTCTCACTAAAACTATCATAACCCTCACTACGGTTGGAGTTTTTGTGTATGGTTACTGCCATTGGAAAGCTAACTTCAAGCTCTCGAAAGAATCATCCAATTTGGATCAGAAATGAGTGAGATATGACCCTTTGAAGTTAGCTCAAGAAAGCTGTCTAAGAAGCTGAAAATAAATCAAGCTTCAGGGAGGATCAGCACGCTGACGGCAAGGATCAGTCGACCAAAACTCAATCATCAGCCGGCTGATGGAAAGGATCAGCAGGCTGAAACGCCCTGTCCAAGTTGCAAACTCACTGGAAAATGCCTATAAAGGCTATCAATCGGCTGATTGCTCTTGTTAGCCGACCGACGCAACAGATAGCAGCAAAAACTGCTGTTGCTGCAATGTGTGGGGAAGGTGCTCGGTCTAAACCTAATGTTATACATGCATCCCAAGTGTCCCAAAACAAGTTTACAGACATTCCATAGCTTCATACAAACATCAATAACATGCTAAATCAAATAAGAAGCTTGAATCAAACTCCAATGCATGAATTTTGCATAAAAATTCATAAATCACCCTATAATAGCTCCAAAACTGGAATTTAAAGGTTTTGTGAGATGTGGACAAGCACACAAACGTAAAAAGATATTTAAGATGCATCCCAATGGCCCACGACTTCAAAATACCCTCAATGCAAAATATGACACCTCTAACCTCAATTTTGCATAAAATTGCCTAAAAAGGTGAAATATAACACCATGGCATAAAAATGAAACGAAATGGTGTTCGGCCCTTAGCCACACCTCATACATATTAAATGAGTCCTAGTGAATGTGCTCGTGCACACTTTGCCCCATTCGATTTGGAAATGAACCCTTAAAGGCTCTGATTTTCCTATTTTAGCCCAAAAATGCAATATATGAAACTAAAATGTAAAACCTAAAACAAAATGGTATTTAGCTCTTGACCACACATTATATACATAGAATGAGTGTCAAAAAGTGTGCTTAGGCACACATTACAAGTTCAAGGCAAAAATGACATTTTGGACCTAACTATGTATTACAACTTTAAAAGTAAAACTCAAACATGCTAACACTTGCATGTGAATAAGAATACACTTAAAGTACTACAATCCATCAAAACAACTGAGGGATGTTGTGCATCCCAAACCAAGGCCTCCGTACTTGAAAATAACCCGATAACTTTGGAGTGAGTAAACAAGTTACTCATAAGCAATAAGCATGCATGACCTAATTTTTACAAGGTTATTACATTAACGTGAAACAATTCAAAAAGGTCATGCCACCTATCATCTATGTCAAAAGTGGGACTAAGGGATCATCTCAAGCTACTCACATAATTGAAATGAACTAAGGCATACAAGTATACATGCTCCAATGTACACAAAACAATGTTAAAATATGATATACGACACATAAGCATACATTTACAAGTTTCTAAACCATATTAAAACAAGTTATGCAATGTTTAAGCATACCTACACAAGTATACAATTAATATGCGTTGCCCAAGTATTGACTCTAGAGGGGGGGGGGGGGGGGGGAGGGGTGAATAGAGTCTTAGCAAACAAAATTTTGGATTTCGATTAACTTGCAAGAACTAAGCTTGATTTTCTTAACAATTGTTTGATAAAGAAATATGAATCTTAAGCTTCATACAACAATATTTATTAAGAAATTAATCATGTAAGACTTAAAGCAATAAATATAAGAGATAGAGATAGAAATTGTAAACAAGTACTCAGCGATTTTAGCGAGGTTCGGAAACTCCTACTCCTCGGCTCAAGACCCCTCTTGAGACTTTCCAATCCACCGTGGCTTCTCCTTGTAGGTGGAGAGCAAACCTTTTACAAGAAGCTCTTCTTTGCTTCTAAGTGCTAAGAGAAGCTCATTCTCTTAGTCTTCCTTGGGCCACACCAGCTTTTACAAGATTTGAATAAGATTGTTGAAGTACAAGATGATCTCTCTTAGATCTAAAGTACAAGATTTAGCTCACTCTAGAGTATGTATGAATAACTTGAAGCTCAATACTCTTTGAAGATATGAAGTATGTGTATGATGATAAAAAGGTTCTAAGATTGCAAGAATATGTTTCTCAATGAATGCAATACCTTTTTATGAAGTTTACAAGTCATTATATAAACTTTCAGATCTATTTAATATGTATTCTAGCTGTTGGACACACACTTCGAGGAAAGATAGCCGTTTCAAATTTTGAATCTCGCAGGCTCGGTCGACATAAATGAAACACCCTTGTGTTTCGGTCATCCAAAATGGTTTAAGGTTGGCCATCATCCTTTGTTTCGGTAGACCGAAGTAATTCCCCTCTTTGTTTCGGTCGTCCGAAACTCCTACCTCCTTTGTTCCAAAAATCTCTGTATGAATCGGTCGTCTAATTCTTTGGTCTCATTTATTTCGGTCGTCCGAAATAACTAGGAGTTAGACTTCATGAATTCAATTCGGTAGATCGAAATGAATTGGTACTTTATTTCGGTAGACCGAAATAGCTTGAGGCTTTGATCCAAACTTTCTGTTAATATCGATTGACTGATTCAATATGCCCTTCCATTTCGGTCGACTGAAATAGAACTTCATTTTTAGGAACCTGTTTTGATGATGTGTTAAACTTGGTCCTTTGTTCCTTAGACATTAATGAATGAATTTCTAAGCATGATTTTGAGAGTGTGAGCTTCAAGATGTTCATTCATGCTTTAACAGGGTTTCCTAAAATGCTCACCATCCTAGCTAATCCCATTTGATGAGATGTTGATGACTTGTCTTTTAGTCTTGATTCCTTTGACTTTTTCTCATGCCTTCATGATGCTCCTTCATTTTTGCTTTTCTGTGTAATGTCTTGACTTGATGATAGCTTAGATCTGTAATTTTACTCAAGGTAGATATTAGTTCGCATAGAACATCATTAATAAATTATGATCATCAAAAGCCTTAGATTCAAGGTTAACAATCTCCTCCTTTTTGATGATGACAATTCATTGATGTTGTTCGAAAAATAAGAGTATGGAATATGAACAATTCTCCCCCTATCAATGTGCATAGTTTTGAAGGTGAGAACATACAAATAAGAGATTACAAATCTTCCCCTTTCCTTGTGTATCCATCTAAGCATTTTTAGCAAGATTATATTTAAGGCATGTATACATATTAAGCAAGATCAAGACAATGCATTAAAAAAGAATGCAATTCATAAATACCAAAAATGTATTTCATTTGATTAATGAATTCAAGGTGCAGTCAAAAGATAGCATGGTCAATAATCACATCTACTTCATTTCACTACTACCCCATTCACAACTTCATAACTACATTGTTAACCATAACCATTACAATTAACAGCCTACAACCACTTACATCAACACTAGTTCACCATCAATAATACCACACTACATCAATATCATTCTCCCCCTTTATCAATCATCAAAAAGGTGGGGGGGAAGGGCATCAAAAGTGAGGAAGTCCCATAGCTCGAAGGTCAGCAAGGTCGTGCTTGATAACATCGACTTTGTTTACTACCTTTTCAACGCATTCGCGCAAGGCGAGAATGTGGTCCTTATTTCCTTTCTCAATGGCAATCTGCTCTTTCGAAAGAGTAATACTCTTAAGTAGAAGCTCATGGAGGGATCTTTCTTTGGAAGGAGGGATATTCATAGATTCTTGTTGTTCTTCCTCTTCTTTTCCTTCTTCCTTTACTTGTTCTTCTTCTCTGTCTTCATTACCACCCATTTCAGCACCTCCTGCTTGGTGTTCTGCTATGACAATGTCTTAGCCCTCATTCGTCGGATCTCTAAACTTAGGGTCATACCAAATGTTGTCTTCAGATTTTTTGAGATCCATTCGACTTAGCAAGTCTCGGTCAATTTTGTAGAGTTTAGTAAGCTCCTTTTTATCCTCTCCTTCTATTTGCACCTTGT